TTTTTTATCATTGAAATTCACCTGCTCATTTGTCTATAAAACAGGCATTGGTTGCTGTAAATGTCACATATTTCAGTGAATATTTCTTTGGGATTTTTAACAAGTTTTACAGCAGCTTTAATGAAGCTGTCGTTTTTACTCTAGTTTATTGATTCTTTACCATTCATTTTTAATGCAGTGTCTCGAATAGCCCTTGTTTCCGAGCTTCTCAAGATGAAACTATGTAATGAAAAGTGGTCACATAAACTGTTATCAATTCATTGAAAATTCAATAATGAGAGAAAGTCATGTTTAATATCATATGATATCTGTATTGTATGTGATACAGTTCAAGACATTATTTATTGAACAGCCCTCGAACGTGTGTTCTGTAGACACAATCATTTAGTTTGCAGAACAATAATTTGGCCGGTAGAAATACCCCATCTTGAAACACATGCAAAGTAACATTCTTTCTAACATTCTAAAAACATAGAGCAAACGCTGGGCCAACATCAGAATTCTTTACTTCTTAGGAAAAAAGTCAATTGAAGTTGGTCAAGGTAGACCAACATTAAGCCAACATAGAAATGCATGTCAACATACATGTACAGCTCAACGCACTTTTTAATCTCACATGGTTTTTCGCACAAATTAAGATCACATTGTTGTGATAAAAATTAGAATTTTCGAACTGCAGTACAATGACATAACCTATGTTATATTACATATATAATGTCAAGCATAAATGTGATTTAGAATTATTATCTGAAGTTTTCAAAGTGGATGTTTTAAAGGGGACTTTATCAATAAATAGTATGATGTTTCGACTATAGGATTCTGACCATATGTTTATATATAAATTGTATTAAACGAGCTTTCTTTGATACTATGTAGTTGAAAGTTTTAAATTTTCTTCTTCAAGTTGAGAATTTTATAAATTTTTTTGCTTATTTACCATATTCCTCCTGGTTTTGTCGAAATGTATCGCCGAAAAGGAATGACATTGCAGAAGGAAACCACACTAAAGAAAAGGATAATGAAGTATTGTTTTTTTTTAATAGTTAATTCCTTCTATTAAAAAGAAAATTCTTCTGCATTTACGGTTTGAAAAGTTCCAATTTTGCAGTGGGATGAATATCTCATGATTCTAGATTTTAGAAGTTGACTCTGAAAAATCCCAGCTTATTAACATACAAAGCAGTCAAACAGATGAAAAATACTATTATCACCCCCAAGCTAAAGAATAAAAATGTACATAAAATGCAAGTTACAGTAGATGTACGGTCCCCGTGTCTACGTTTCTGCCGAGCGCTATTGCTTTCAAAAGAATGGATAAAAAGACAGCTACAATTGGCAAGAAACCACAAAAAATCAAATGGGAATAGTTGTTATTTTTCAACCATTTCAGTGAATTCTGTTTTAGTAAATAAATAAAATAAAATTTAAATAATGTAAGTTATTATTTTTCTTTATTGTTCCAACTATCTGATTGGTTCAAACTGGATCACATGATCAAGTATAAAAAGTGTTACAGACTGGATGTTTCTATTTTCAAAATTTATGAACCTGCTTTTCTAAAATTGGAAATGTTCTTCTATGAAGCAGCAATAGTGCTGACGTCACAATAGTCTTTATAGATTGGATATTTCTAAAAACAGATACTGCAGCTGGTTTTCATTACTGTGACGTCATAATGCAATGACATAACAATGCCTTGTATGAGAAGGTACTGTGTATTATAAAGAAGGATTTTAAGACATTTCTTATTAACAGATAAAAAAATAAAACAATTGTAGCATTTTGATTCGGTACAATCCCTCGATATATAGACCTTAGAGAAAGCATATCGACCTCGCACTTCGTGCTCGGTCGATATGCTTTCTCTAAGGTCTATATATCGAGGGATTGACCTCATCAAAAGGCTATAATTGTATAATAATACTTTTGAAATGTATTTTATTACACAATATTACATCATGACAATGTGACCTTAATTTGTGAGAAAAACCATGTGAGCTTAAAAAAAGCATTGAGCTGTACAGTACAGAAAATTGGTCTAACTCATTTTAAATCTTGGCCGGAAAATATTTTTTTTATATTTTTATATAGTAAATCCCACTTTCTTCTGTAAAAAACATTATTTAAACTGTTTACACCTATCAGTTCTCCAAATATTAACGATATAATAACATAAAATTAGTATACCCCCCGCTTGAAAAGCGGGAGGGTATATAGTAATTGTTAATTCGATCCGTCCGTCTGTACGTCCGTCTGTCTGTTACGCTTTGGGGTGCCCATCTTTTATCCGCAACTCCTCTTATACCACTGAGTGAAATTTAATGAAACTTTCACAGAATTTGATCTGACATATATTTTGGATTTTCCAGAGCAAGACATGGACACTGCCATTTTATTCATATGGAAGGCGGGGGTCGGGTATCATTTAGTGAGCTCATTGCTCACAGTACCTCTAGTTTTCCGTAATATTAACACATTTTGGGGCCAACGTTGATCCATATTTCCCAACATTTGCCCATTGTTGGTAGTCCTACATTGGTCCGTGATTATATTGCTTGTCGGCCCAATGTTGGTCCAGCATGGCGGCATACTGTTGGGTCAACGTGGGTACAATGGAAAGCCAACTACATATTGTAATAGACAACCTAATCAACAGGTTTGCTGAGGTCGGCTTCATGTTGGCCCTTTGTTGAAATGTCAGATGGCATATTGCTGAACAAATATAGTTATTGTATAACAACCAACAGCCAGCATTGGTGAGGTTGGCACAAGGTTGACTCTTCGTTGAATGATTGATTCGATATTTACTTGCTTTGGTGGTAATTAGGATTCTTTTTCTTGACCAATTGTGGATCAAAACTTAAATATATTTAAAACAATTCATCAAAAACTTCTTGAAAATAATTTTTTAATGTACATTGTATCTCTCTATTAACTTATCACATGATTGTTACAAAAAAATAAAACACACACTTCAACATGCATTACCACATATGACATTGTATATTTGTACGTGTACATGTTCAATGCATGAACACATTGCAAGTAATACACAGTGAATTTACATTATACACCGGTATGTCCGTATGTCAATACACTCAGAATATACACAAATAAGCTTTATCACCCTATGCTAACAACAAAATCATTTAATGTTGGCCTTACATTATCATGCTACTGGATTTTAAGTGTTTTATTGCAGCCCGGAGGACCGGGCTGCTCTATACATATAAGTTTAAGTGTTGGTATATGGGGATTAAGGTGGGAGAAGTTATTCAGAATAAAAGGTTAGCTATACATTAAAAGATTCTACATCAGAATGTTCTTTCCCTTTATAAATTACGAGATACACAATATATTTACTCCTATACGGTGAATCTTTAAAAATATAAACGTTTTTCATATTTAATATATAAAGTTGCTTATCATTTACTATCGAAAAAACTACAGGCCCCCTTTTTTAGAACATCGAATTTTACTTTTCGCATAAAAACGTACGTTTCACAGTTCGTGTTTTATAATCCTAAAGTGAAATACATATTTGAAAACAGGTGATGCATGTGTCTGATTTTAATTTATATTTTATGCAGCCAACATTTACTTGAAGAATTGATAAAGTTTAAAAAGGGTATCGTTTTTGTTCGATTTTCATCCGACTATAAGTTTTCAAAATCTTCTCGACTATCGTCTCCATCATTTAGACGCATGTCTTTTTCATACATATCGAAGCGGTTTGATGATCAAGACTCCTTTCCATTGTTTACTTAATTTATTTCCCGGGCGACAATTGATGGATACATCAATGTTTTCTTGTTTTTACTTTTGATAGGTTTGCACGGCGTATGGCGAACATTGATATTGAGCATCTGCTTGGAAAAGGAGAGGGGAAATGTTAACTCTGAGATTACACTCATTTCCAATATCTTTGATATTAATAATAATATTTTCTTAGTATTTATAAAAATAATTTATATTTATCATTGATAACTTTGAATCTGCTGATGTGACGTCATTTCTTAAAACATTGTGCTACGTACTTTGTATGCAGTGAGAGGAAAATCAAGGAAAACTTCCGCAGTAAAATGAATTCATTGAAATATATGGAGGTACCGAACAGTATTCAAGCAAAATTCTATTAACCAATACGAATCCGGAGCAGCGCAAACACGTACCCCGAAAACATCAGAGGAAAGATCAGGTACCAAGAAGGAGTGAGTCCGATCAACAGGTCATACCCTCCGTGTGGTCTAATCTCATGATCAGGAAATAACAGAAAAGTCCTTCATCAATTCAGTGTGTGAAAATTAGACTAACAATTTGTATTCAAAAAAAATGTCAGTCGGCATTTGACTCGTTGATAGATTGAAGTTGCTGATATCGTCATCGTAATGTAGAACTCACGAAATAATGACTTAATTTGAACGAGACTGGTGATATTCTTGTAGCACAGATCGGGTAGGTTTTTTTGGTAACCTTCCCCTCCCTTCCACTTTAAAATAATTTTACTTCAGACCTTTGAATAGACTATTTAGATAGCTGTTTTTCATAAATTATGATGTTGATTTAGGAATAGATTAAAATTTAACTGTGAAATCATTAATTTTCGTAGGGGTTTCATCTGTTAATAGTTAATCTGAGTCAGCTTTCAGAATAAACCTAATAAATTCCTCCAGAGATGTTATTTGGCGTCCGTTGTTGTTTTTACCGGGGATTCCTACTCAATGGAAACGAACTCTCTGTACAGAAAATAGGGCATACCTCATCATTCCTCCGTCATAGAATAGAATTCAACATTCAACACTTTAAATACAAGCACAAGTATATACATCTCAGATAAGCTTTATTTTGTGTTTTTTAAAAAACGAATAAATTCTCTTGTTATTAAGAAATAGATGATCTAGCCTTGAGTAAAAGTGGAGTAAGTTACCTCAAAACCGTCAATTTATATGCATAATTGTTTTTTCTTCCCAGGAAAAACTTGCTATGATAAATGTCCCTACCTTTTCTATCGATATCTCTTTTGGTCTTTCATACCAAATGCATTCTTGAAGACAGCTGCACAAATTAAGTTACCATATTCAGCTCTTGTGCATGTCAGAGTCTATGTAGCAAAACATTGTATTTAAGAGTCGTCATCCTGTTTTCTAGTGAACATTTCAGTCACGTGATGTAAAAGTTGAACGAGGATTCTCATTTTTGCATTCTTGCTATTTCCGTGTCAACAAACCATTAAATATTGATTTTCTTTATAGCAACTATAGAGCTACGATATCAGTCAACCAATTCAACTGAACAATGTACTGTATATGTTAATGGTAATATAAAATTAGTATATAACAATTCCACAATGTCGAGCATGAGCATGAACTAAAAAAGTTTCATTATATATATGATTTGTTATTAATTGTATGTTATATTTATGCTCTTTCTGATAGAAAATATTTTGGTGTAACTCTTACATGTCTATTGGATATTTAGGAAGTACATTGCATAATGTGTACCTAAATGAGGATATATACCAGTTTTAATTATATAATTATTCATATTAAAACAAATTAATCGTTTTGAATGCTAATCATAGGCGTCGGAACCGAGTATGGGGGATGGGGGTTTAGAGCACCCCTCTTTTTAATTACAAAGGTAGACATAATATAGGCAATGGATTTTGAGGCATAGTCCTCAACTGATTTTTTGGGTAGTTGTTTACCCCCGCCCCCTAAAAAAATCTTTCAATAGGTATAAAGCAACAAAATGATCACTGAAATGCCGGTTGGTTGAAAATTTGGTATTGAAAGAGGCTAAATTAAGTTACCCCCTTCCAATGCAAATATGATTTTTGGTTTGGACAATTTTCCTTTTCTCTGTTTATCAAGATTTTTTCAGGTTATTTTTTCTCCTCTTTCAATTATCCCCCACTTTCAAACTGCTTCCGAAGCCAATGCAAGCCATTTAAGGATCCTGGTTCGATGAAAAAAAATAATTTCATGCTATTTTTATGCAACTTTTAAGGTACATGTAGATCTTTTTTGCCCCTACTGTTCTCTACAAAAAATTGAATTCAATATCAAACATAGGTAATCAGAGATTACAGAGCTCACCTCAACGAATGTTGTCAATACGTAAGGCAAAGTCACACAATTAACCAACAAAAAGTGTACATTCAAAAATGCAAAATTTATGCAATTTTGATCTGATACTTTGGAATAGACGTATATAAAAACTTCAAACTAGTTCTTCATCACAAAAATGTTATTAAAATCCAGCATCTGGAGCAAGTCCATTTGTGTGCATCCTAAGATGTATCATCCATGCAAGTTTGCACAACATAGGGCTACTAGTTACTTAGAAATGAAACCTGCATAAAAAATTAACCTCTTCACCCATCAAGAAAAAAATGTAGGTAAGATTCAGCATCCGAAGCAAGTCTGATAGAATGCGTCTTAAGATGTATCATCCATGCAAGTTTAGTCATTATAAGGCTCATTGTAATTTGGAAATGAAACCTGCACCAAAAATTTTAGGATGTGTACTCATCTGGAAAATGTAGGTCAGATTCAGCATCCGATGCAAGTCTGGTAGTATACATCCTTAGATGTATCATCCATGCAGGTTTGGTCAACATAAGTCTTATAGCTACAAGAATGTACTTGGAAATGAGACCTGCACCAAAAACATTAACCTGTTCACTCAACGGGAAAATGTAGGTCAGATTCAGCATCCGAAGCAAGTCTGGTAGTGTACATCCTTAAATGTATCATCCATGTAAGTTTGGTCAACATAGGGCTTATAGTTACTTGGAAATGAGACCTGCACCAAAACTTAACCTGTTCAATCAATTGGAAAATGCAGGTCAGAATTAGCATCCGAAGCAAGTCTGGTAGTGTACATCTTTAGATGTATCATCCATGTAAGTTTGGTCAACATAGGGCTTATAGTTCCTTGGAAATGAGTAATACACCAAAAATGTTAACCTGCTCCAAAAACATTAACCTGGTCATTCCTTTACTGAAATTGCAGCATCTGAAACTTTGACTGGTACAATGAAACACACTAGAAGCATCTTCTATGCATGTCTTATCAATATGGGACATAGAAGACCTTAAAAAGAAATATGCTCCAAAAAAATTAACCTTAACCTGGGACGCCGACGCCGAGGGTATTACATAAGCTCCTCCATCTTCGTTGAGGTGAGCTAAAAATCACAATTTGCCATATCGTAGAGGACACAACTGTAATTATTGCTGTATTTAGTTTATGAATTGGACTTATATAAGAATATTTACTAGTTAATAGTTGTTTCAAATAATGGAATTTCACTGACAATGACGGCAGAAGAAAATGGAGTGAGTTACCTTACCTCAAAACTTTCTAGGAAAAATCTGATATGATGAATTTTTTCTGCCTTTTATAGTGACATCTCTTCAACTTTGGTACTTTGTTTAATTTACGTCTCTTAATCTTTATTGAATTAAACCACCGGAGATTTCAGTTAATCCAAGCTAATTGGTTTTTCACACCTGTCATCGTTTGATATTGCTAAAATTATCTTTAGGCAAAATAACATCAAAAGGACGATAATCTGACCCTCAATTATTTTAAGGTTTTACTCAATTATCATGTTGTAAATTTTGAATTTACTAGGGGGAGGTAAATGCATAATTGTAAATTTTGCATTTCCCTCCCCCTAGTAAATTCAAAATTTACAACATGATACAATTCAAATTTTTGTAGAAGACAGTACCATGCAATTTGGGGTCTTGCACACAGCTGCACAAAAGGTTAACTTTTCAGCTCTAGTGCATGTCAATCAATGTTTATATGGTAAAATTTAAAACATAAAATTTGAGTGTAGTCATCCTGTTTTCCAGTAATCATCCCGGTCACGTGACTTAAGTAAAAGATGGACGGGAATTTATGGCACGCCAAATTCACAAAAATAAACTAAACATAGTTCCACCGTTGATAAACTAGGTTTATCGAACTGTAGACTTTAGTTTACAATCGTGAACTATGGTAAACAATTCGTTAAGTATAGTTAAAATTCGTTATCTATAGTAAACAATTCGTTAACCATAGTTTTCGTCTGTAAAACTATATTTAATGGTTGTTAACCATAGTTTGCGAATGCTAATCTAAATTTATCTGTCTTTGATAAAACGTTAACAATAGATTTTGTTGATAAACATAGATTCACGTACGTCTGTAAACTATAATCTGCAATCGTGAACTATAGTTGAGAGTTATTAATCATAGTTTCACAAATCGTGAAACTATTTTGTTTATCAGATCGTCAACGATAGTTAAGAGTTGTAAACCATAGTTTACAATGCAAATCGTGAAACTGTATTTATCGGATAATCTATGATTTGCAATCTTAAGAATAGTTCACGGATCTGAAACATATATTATCGCGTTAACATGGTTAACAGATGTAAAATATAGATTAACGTTGTTAACTATAGTTTACAGTCCGTAAACTATAGTTTACAACCGATAAACCTAGTTTATCGACTGTGAAATTATGTTTAATTAACTCGTTTTTGTGAATTTGACGTGCCATAGAAATTCTCAGTTTCGCCTTCTTACTATTTTCGTGTCAACAGAGCGTTATATACTGATTTTCAATCAATCAACCAATTTAACTCAACAATGCACTGTCTATGTAAAGGGTAATATTAAATTGGTACATGTATCTCATGATACCAAAAAGTTGGACATGCAACCACAAAAGTTTCACTATATTTATGAATTGTCATAATTGTTTGTATGCTCTCCCTGATACAAACTGTTTTGGTGTAACACTTACATGTCTGTGGGATATCTAGGAAGTATAATGTGTACTTAAATGAGGATACATATTAGTTTTATTTATATATAATTATGTAGATTAAAATAAAATTAATAAATAAGAATACTGGCCATATGGGTCGGAACCGAGGAGGGTTGGGGGTGGGGGTTAGTACCCCTCTTAAAGGTAGATATAATATAGGCAATGATTATTGGGGCGTATTCTCCAATTTTTTGTTTTTGTTTTTGTTTTGACCCCCTCCTCCTGCAAAACAGGACTCCTGGTTTGGACAATTTTCCTTTTTTCTGCTTGTCAAAATTTTTGCAGGTTTGGATTTTTTCCCCTTTCAATTAGCAACCTCCCCTCCCTTACCTTCAAATTGTTTTGACGCCACTGTTTAATTGTCACATGTTCTTTAAACAGTTCATTTAAAGATAACTTAATGATACCTGTATGTAACATTTAAACTAGATCTATTTTGCCCTTTAAGATTTAAATTGAATAAACTGAAATTTACAGTGCAAGTTCTAAACAGTTTGCACTCAACTCGGATATTCTGAATATTTGTAAATTGAGTTAAAATATATCTATTGGGTTCCGAAACTTCATAAGAATACTTACAAAGATGCATTGCGGGTCCCAGTAAATGTTCAATCAAGCCTCTTTCTTTACTCCTCACTAAGATATTAAAGGTAGTGAAGGAGAAACTTCAACTTCAAGAGTACTATGCAACAATTTACTAGTATTCAAGAGGTGGTGTGAATCAGATATGGATAGTCAAAAATTCCAAAGAACTTTTGGACAATTTGAAATCACAAGATTTTACCAAAATCAACAGCTTGAAAACTTACGACTTTTCAACTTTATACACAACCATTTCCCACGATAAAATAAAGTCCAGGCTTTTTGATATCATTAATTGACAGCTGCCTTTTCAATAAAAAAAGAGAAAAATTACTTACCTGGTCATTAGACATTTGCAAAATTACATGTATTTTGTTAAAACACTCTTTAATATTCTGATTGCACACACACGTACTGTGAAGTTGACATCAAAAAGATGCTTGAGTTTTTGATTGAAAAAAAAATGTATTTATATAGCAAAGGGAATGACTTCTTTTCAATAAAATACAAATAATAATAATGTGCAAATTTCAAATAATTTGATGAAAATATACCCCTGCTTATTACACATATATTATAACTTTTAAAATATACTCTGTTTGCCTTTTGCATGCCAAGGAGCAGAGATTGATTGTATATATTTTATGATATATTGTTAAACGTCCCTCTCGAGAATTTTTTCAATCACACAGAGGCACATATAGTCAAAATAGCCTAGTAGCACTTACACTAAAACCCCTGACCCAGTGGCCATTAAATTTTGAAACATTTTTCAGGTGTCCTCGCTTATCCTTTAGAAGCATGCACTTTAATTGTATGCTAAATATCAAGGCGCAGAAAGGCTAAATATTTCAAAGAAATAAAGCATTTTTCACTGTATAATCAATAGATCTATTCTTCCAGCAGACCTTGGGGCAACACAAATAAGTACTCATAATCTACATATCTGTACACTTAATTTGTTTGCTAGATATTTATAGGAGCAGAGAAGATTTTCAAAGAATTATAATGCATTTTCACTTCATAATTTAGTCCTGCCCTATAACATGTAGATGTGAAATCCTTGAACCAGGAAATTGAGACACTCTTGTTATCAAACCTACGCATTTGGTTTGTTTGGTTATGTCCAAGAGTTGGGAATAAAATTTTCAAAGTATTCATGTACATTTACTATATATATAATGGTTGGAGGCCCCTTTCCCGCAGAACCTAAAACCCAAAGGCCATGAATTTTACAATTTTGGAACAAGCAGCCGTGGTCATTATAATGAAGGTGAAGAGTACGGATCAACAATGGAATCAACACAGAACGCATGCAGAGGGGTAGATGAAAAAAAAAAAGGGGAAATGGCATTTAATAATCCAGACCTAAAGTTTGTGACAATGAAAAATATTGCAAAGAAAGGTGGGGGTGGGGGACACCCATCAAATTATGTAACCGTGCCTTGCGTTTGTCTTTTAAAAACCTAGGAGAAGAAAAGATTGTACAGTCAACCCAAGCCATTCGCAGTCAAGAATTTTAAATGCATTTTCACTTTTCAATTAAAAGTGCCTTGTCCTAAAACCACTGATGAAATTGCTAACCCGGGGTCATGATGATTACCTATTTGGTTTGTTTCTTTTTTTACCAAGGAGCGAAGAAGAATATTTTCAAATATGTACTTATGCCCCCCCCCCTTTTTTCCCCCTTCCACAGCGGACATCCTTAAAGAAGACTGGACAGTGGTATTTGCCATCAAAATAGGCGAATGTTGATACCACATTCTTGCTTTTACCTGCTTTCACTCTCATTTTCTATATTTTCCATATGATTAGATTTTTCTTCACATCTCCTAATTATTTCGAATCTCGGTTCTCCCATGCTTCTACATTTACCGCCATTCAGGAAAAAATATGTCGGGATCGAAAGTCTAAAAATTGAGAGCCATCATCTGCACATTCATAATAATTTATGATTATTTTTTTAATTTTAGGCAGTAAGTAACTGTTGATTATATTGATTTAATAATATTTAACCAATGTGGATTTAACATTGATATATCCTGATACTTTTGTGGACATGGCAACGTTGAATGTAAGTGATAAACATGATAAAGCATTAAAACATAAGATACATGCTCTTCATCAGATTCAGAGATCAAATGGTACAGCTGTGTCAGTGTGGAAGCGTAACGTTAGATGTTGAATCGAATGTATTTTTATATAACTTGATTTCCTCGCTCGAGGCTGTAACCTTGTCAATTTACTGATTGATTTAAATTTGTGAATTAAAATTTACTAGAATCAAGTTAAAGGATTTAATCTGAATAATGAACTAGCTGCAGATCTGTAGCTCTCCGAAAAAAAAGTATATTGATAGACCGGAGAGCTACAGTGCCACCCATTGAAAAAACTGTATATTTATTGCGCACAAAAAAGTGCACTCGGTTCTCGATTTATTTCTCCATGTTTTTAAAACTGTAATCTCAAAATATTACTAACCATGTGTTCCTAACATATTCTTTCGCTGTTTTCACAACCAAACATTCCTCATAATTGTTGTTAATAGTCCTCCTGACCCTGATATTGTAATCATCGAACATTTGGCTTATTTATACTGCCATTTTGGTTTCAAAGATAATTCGGTCCAATAAGCTTCGTTTGGATGTCAACTACGAGAGTAATTGATAGGAGATAAAGGAATTTTTTGAAAACTTTCCTTATTTGCAATTAAGATAAGAATTTAGAAGAATTAATTTAGAACCGAGCGCACTTTTTTGTGCGCAATAAATATACAGTTTTTTCAATGGGTGGCACTCCGGTCTATCAATATATTTTTTTTGGAGAGCTACAGATCTGCAGCTAAATAATGAACATGATCATGATGATGAAAAGGATAATAAAATAATTATATTTTACAATGTATATTTACAGATACTTGGCCCTGAGTCGTATCGGAGCTGTATTATATGTTTACATTGTGTGAATGATGCTATATGCTTAGTTGTACAATGTATATTTACAGATTCTTGGTCCTGTCTCGTTACAGAGCTATGTTTACTTATAATATGTCTACAATGTGTGAGTGATGCTACATGTATATGCTAACAATATAATTATATTTACAGATTCTTGGCCCTGAGTTACAAAGTCATATCAGAGCTGTGTTATATGGACAGTGTGTTGGGGACGCTCTTGGACTTCTGACCGAGTTCTTGACCAAAGAAGAGGCAAAAGAAGTAGGCCCTATCTTTTATGTTTTATGAACAATTTGTGGGGTATGCTTTTGGTTTCTGATGAAATACCTGACCAAGCAAAAGGCTGAATAAGCAAGCCACGGCCACTTACACCATGAACAGTCAGGGGCAAGATGGAATGAAGTTATTTTCTAAAATAACTTGTTTATGTTACTTTATTTATCAATTACTAAACAAAAAAGTAACTCATTTGAGTTAATGCTTAAAAAGAAGAACAGGTATTAGTTTTGCAAAAAACATTAATATTTTGAGATTGCTGCTGATTTAAGATGAATTAAGGCTAAAGAAAATTGTAAATATATGTACTTCTTTTAATAGACTCAACAAACTTAATATCTTCTGAGCAGATATGATGATATTAAGAAAATAACATGATAGTTTTCAAGGAAAAATAATTCCATTTCATTAACATTTCAGAGGTCAATTACACATCTTCCGCCAATTTTGCCAACATTGAGACTAATTTTCCTATAATCTTTGGATATTACAGTTACTGTACAATCTCTATGTTTTACATTTTTTGTGCAAAGCTGTAGATTTTTGTGCAAGAGTTTTAAAGTGAGGTGGTTTAAGGATGAAATAATTGAAATAAGTTATAATTTGTTGGATTTCAAGGTGTTAAATGTTAAAGATAGATTACTTTTACTGTCAGGAACCATCTACCAGTACTTAATAACCCAAGCACAGCATGACTAAATCCTTTCAGATGCCAGTAGGTTTACAATAATGAGTAGTAAAGTATCAATAACAGGTATAAGTTACTGAAGAAAACCATAATCAGGGGAAGATAACCCAAAATGTTGACATTTAATAACTGAAACAAATTATTTCAAAAATAACTTGTTTCCATGATGCCCTTGACTGATGAACGCAGAATACTCGATCTAAACTTATTACATTAATCATGTTAATTGGCTGTGTATTTTATTTAGCGTTTTTGTGGAAAAACAACTTACAAGCACATTATTAAATCTTCTAATTCTACAACTGTACATCAGTCCACTCTCTTTATTTAATTATCTGGGTAATCATGGTAATTCTTTATGAACCTAACAGGTTTTAATTCTAAAACTTTCAGTTTTCATTACTGGAACTCTTTAAATTAGAGGTCTGTCTGGTTGTCTGACTGCGGCAATTAAAGACCATGAAAGCAATGCAGAGAATACAAAATATGTCAATCACATTCCAGTTTAAAAATTTTAAGTGTATTTGTCATTCCTGTAAACATGGTTAATGAGTGCAGTGGAACCCAAATCTCGCTATTACGGTGACCGTTTTATATGATGGAATGCTTTTTACGTTGTAACCTTTACAAAAAAGAACCGTTTATTATGTTGTACACAAAAGCCAGGTCTCAGTATTACGATGTAAATATTTTGTCAACATTATTTTCACTCCGTGTATAAGAGCTAGTAGACCTATGATGAGAATGAAAGCCATGAAATCAATTCATAATTCATTGATAAACATAAGGACATATTTGAAGCATGTAATTTGTATTTCTAGATGGACCTTCTACATTTGTCAATAACAGAACAGCCTGAAATGTTATATATTATCAATATAAACTTTATTGTTATAGTTCTGATGCATGTTAAGTTCACAAAAAAACAGTATTTCATTTTGAATTCATGCTTGTTAGGGTTTACTCTTCATTGATGTCACAAAACAGCACACTAAGAACTTTAACTCTTTCATAGTGGAAATAGAAAGCATTGAAAATAAATATGTTTAAATCAAATTACATGTAAAACAATATTAGATAAATTTTTAATATCAAGTACAGTACTGTGGAAATACTTTATTTCACAAGGTCATAATTCCGCTGAATCACAATTTCTGTTTAATCTGCGGGTAGAAAATTAAACTCATCATCTGATTCTTAAACTGTCACTATATGCTTTACATCAATATTAAGTACCCTTGGCCAAATTTCCACGGAAAATTTGTGACCGCGTACATAGTGTTAAGTAATACCACGCAGAAAAAAGTACTTCAACAGTATTCCACTAAAATCTTTAAAAACTGAAAGGATCTAGAACTGTAATATATTTGTTGGTATATATTTTTGTTCTGGTTCCAGTATTTTGGGAAATTGAAGGACAGTCTGGAATATAAACACAAGGCCCTGGTAGATAACCCCCATCAGAGTCGCTGGAAGGAGGGCGACTGGTCTGATGACTCCGATCAGATGATTATAATAATGATGTCACTCACAGACAACAATGGAATGGTGAGTAGGACTAGATGATTATAATAATGATGTCACTGACAACAATGGAATGGTGAGTAGGACCAGATGATTATAATAATGATGTCACTCACAGACAACAATGGAATGGTGAGTAGGACCAGATGATTATAATAATGATGTCACTCACAGACAACAATGGAATGGTGTGTAAAGCCAACAGTATCAAAACAGATTAATAGGAAGAAAACAAGCTTTTTCATTTGTGCTGCCATAAATGATGTACTCTAGTAGTAGAACTCACCATATTGCATGTTTTTCCTACATGAAATCAATATTCAACTGTCACTCACTTAGTAATTTTTCTTAATGATACATCTTATCTTTTATGTCAAGGTCTTGGTATTAAATTAATATCTAAATGACACTCATCAAGTACATTTTCCCTCTAAATGTCTTAACTTTTTTCTCGAAATCATGGTATTGAGTTAAGGTCACATTTTACAAGTCAAGGTCACTTGGGCAATTGTGTGGGATACTGTCATAAGTTTTAAACCTATTATTATTTTTTTCTAATTATTTTATTACCCAAATAGTCATTTTGAAATCATTCTGCAACAATAAATTTTGTCTAGGTATACTCTGCTAAAATTTATATTGTTCCATTTAATCTTGCCTTTGATTGCTGTTCATTATCTTGATCATATTTACATCTTGAGGAGGAATGTTCAAAACATCATGTTTGTTTGACCACTTTGTGTTTAGGTGAATCATAAAGACATTGCACGCCGATTTCTGGACTGGATGAAGAAGGGATTTCCTGAGTTGGGGGATTTCGTTGGAATGGGAATTGGAAAAACAACCGACCTTGTTCTACGCCACAAAAGTTACCTAGATGATCCTTACACAGTTTGTATATTTCATCTTGTACTTCAAAACTGCTATTTCAAAAAAAAATCTTTTGTACTCCTGGAAGTCTAGCAGACTAAAACTTTGTAGTTTAAAAATTTCAGCTAGCCCTCTACCAAAACTGCGATTCAAATTAGACTTAATTGGCAATACATGTACATGTCAAACAAAACTTTTATTAAATCTTTGAAAATTCATCTTCCTAACATGTGGAAGTTCAACAGATTTAAGAGTTCATTAGTTTGTGTCCCTTTCTGATCACATGATTAAACATGAACACATGATTAGAACATAATTATCACATGATTAGCATAAGGACAAAATAGTGACATGATAACATGATCAAAACAAAGTCACATGATTAGCATTAGAACAACATGGTGTCATGATAAGGACATGGTCACATGATAAGAATATGATCACATTATTAGAATATGATAATATGAATAGAAAATGATAAGGACATGAGCATATATATATTTATAAAAGTTATGGTAAAACACGTGTGTCATGATAAGGACATGGTCACATGATAAGAATATGATCACATTATTAGAATATGATAATATGAATAGAAAATGATAAGGACATGAGCATATGATAGGAACATGAGTACATGATAAGGACATCACATGATAGGGACATGATCACATAACAAGGACAGCATGGTAAGATTGATTGATTGTATGCTGTTTAACGTCCCTCTCCAGAATATTTCACTGATATGGAGATGTCACCATTGCCGGTGAAGGTCTGCAAATTTGGGCAAATGCTCGACACTTACGGTCTTTCAGCAGGGAGGGATCTTTATCGTGCAACACCTGCTGTGACACGGGACCTCAGTTTATACGGTCTCATCTGAAGGACCGCCCCATTTAGTTGTCTTTTACGACAAGCAAGGGGGTACTGAGGACCTATTCTAACCCGGATCCCCACAGGGTCAGCATGGTAAGATGATTAGGACATGATCACATGATTAGGACATACTCACATGCTAAGGACATGATAGTGACAACATGGTTATAATTATGATAAAGGCATGATCATGATCTATCCTTCTGTTGTAGGCAGCTGAGAGTGTGTGGAGGGAGAGCCAGTGTAAGGTGGCCCCTAATGGAGCTGTGATGAGGACCAGTATCCTGGGGGTCCACTCTTTTCATGACCTGGAACAGGTGGCCAGGAACGCAGCAGATGTGGCCAGAATCACTTACTATGATCCAAGGTCAGTTTTGGTCATGCTGAGTTATGCCTGGGGCTTAGAATAATTCACTGTGACCCAAGGTTAGTTTGAGGTCAAGTTAAGTTTTGGCAGACTGTAGAATAACTCACTATGACCCAAGGTCAGTTTGAGGTCAAGGTAAGCTGTGGCAGAGCTTAGAATAACTTACTATGACCCAAGGTCAGTTTGAGGTCAAGCTGAATTGTGGCAGGGGCTTAGAAATGTGAAACAACAGTTGAACTGCACACAGCAGAAATGTCTTAACTTACAAGTGCTGAACACTACGGAGTAATTGGTCAATTGCTTGCATATAAAAAAAATATTCAAGTCAGAGTGTTTTGGAGGAAATGCTAGCACAAAATGCTTTTCATTATTAAATGTTTCAAATTAAGCAAGGTATCAAAGTTCCAAATATATATAATTATATAGAAAATCAATACCTGTTACAATTGGAAAGATAGCAATTATCTTGTATATTTTATCATGATTTGTTTTTCATCTGTAGGACTTTTCATTGTATTTTTCTTTACTAACAAATAGAGGACAAAATATGTAATGTTGCATTCTGTTTGTATATGCTTCACCAAATTCAAAAATATTACAGCACATTAAACTCTTTAAGAGTTCTATAAGCATGTCATTAGCTAGTTAGAGCTCACAGTATAAAGGGACCATTTAAAACAATAATTATACAAAAGATAAAAAAAACTGAAACATCCAACGAGTTGCAATCCTTAGAAAAGGCTGTGAAGGAGTTTAGAATCTGATGTTAAAGTAGTGGTGGGGACTTCCACTTTGACATATTTGCATGAATATTCAATGTTCATATACTAAGCTTAACTGATGAATATTTAAAAAAAAAACTCATAACAAGATTAACAAAATAAATAAGAAATCTTTAAAGATACCAGACCTCTGCTAGGATCAACAAAATCAATAAATACAAAAAAAATGATATCATTCTTTATAGATGCCAGGCCTCTGCGGTTGCTGTGTCGGTTGCTATAGCAATAATGTTGCAGAAGAAAGAGAAGCACTTGGACAGAGGAGGTCACTACAATGTTGGCACCATCATTAAGGACAGCTATGATATGGCTGTCAGATACATTGAAGATAAGGACCAGGTATGTGTATGACCTTGACCCCTGCTCCATCATCAAGGATATTTACGACATGGCTGTCAGATACATTGATGATAAGGAACAGGTATTATCACCTTGACCTCTTTCTTTCCTCTTCTTGTCAGAGACCTGTAGATCTGAATGCATTAATAAGGTTTTCATTCTCTGTCTATTTGTCTGACTGTCGCTGCATAAACATTTTTTCAAAATTAGTTTTTCATTTTGGTCAGATTTCAAGAAGACTTGGTACACAGGTAGACTAAATTATGAAATAAAAAAAAAATCTGTTTATAATTGGCTTGATCTCAATCCTCAAAGTTGCCATGGTTAAAAGAAATGGAATTTTTTGTGATTTTTTCCCAATGTTAACTTTTGTACTGTTTTGATCTGATCAAATACTGTGAACCAACTACTTTTATGTAATCTTATATTCACAATTTGTCAGTTTGCAATTAGTCTACAACGTTAATATTTTGCATCCGAAGAAACATTCTCTACTGAAACAAAGCAATATAAATGGTTCGGGGTAATTAGTATTTGTTAGTTTAAGAAGATTACAAAACTTATTGAACTGTTGATGTGCTAGGGCTTTAATAATCCATATGTATATTCTTTGTGAAAGAACTTTTCTTAACAACTATGACCTTGGAGTTTCACTTACTTTTCAAAATGATTAACATTTGGACATAATTTCTTGATGCTTGTTGCTTGGACTTTCATTTTTTCACCCTTTGTTCTTGCTTTAGAGTTTAAGTTGGATTAGGAAAAAAAATGTAACCTAAATTACAGATATGGGGGCATTCATATTTCACAAACACATCTTGATTTTTTTTTCTTGATAGAAACAAGAATTACTGACTTATATGAAGTGTTCAGATATAAAACAACTAAAACTATCAGTTGGTTACACGTTCAAGACCATGGGCTCTGGATTCTGGGCACTCAAGCAGAATGATTTCCGCAAAGCCATCACAAAGATTGTCATGCAGGTGAGATAAATCCAAGCTACTTTACCTGGAGATTGATCATTTTAGCTTAAGGGTCATTGATATTCTGATAAGAGAGGAAACTCTTTATGACATAAATGTCTATTATTCCTTTAAGTTAAAGTGTGTTTGTTGTCCAATTTTGGCTATGCTATAATGTTTGTATTTTTCTTAAAAAATACATTTCTTATGATTTTCAAAAAGAGTAACATTTTATATGAGAGAGCAGAGGGTTTATGAACCTGAGGAAAAGAATTAATTGGAGGAAAAAAATAACATTGAAAATCTTGAGGAATCAAAGCATCCAGAGATTGTGCATTTTTCAGAAATCTGAAATAAAGAGTGAAACTCCATATCTGGCACCAAGACCATAAACTGAAAACATACGAGGGGGTATCAAAAAGTTCGTGGACTTGCGCCATAAAATTAAAACCGCTTTAGGTACATCAATGAATTTTAAAATAACTATTTAGCATCATCTTTTCTATCTATAGAGTCATAAATTTTATTCTTTAATAAATAAGTAATGTTTAACATTATGTCAAGGTGGTACATAATTTCTTGGTGCTTGTAAAACAGCACTGGACTTTTGATATGTACATTTGACTTAAAAATCCTGTTTTCAAGTATGGTTACCATTGTTCCATAAAGTGTGGAATTTTTTGTCTCATTCTGGAAGTTCCATGAAATTTTATCATAGATTTAACATGGAGTGTCCAAACAATTAAGGCTTGAAAATGACGTCAAAAAAGGGGAAGTGTTTCCTTTTCCAACATTCTTTGAAGTTTTGCCCCTGAAAAAAACTAGTATAGGCCAAGGAATTATTTAAACTTGCTACGAAGAAATAATATGCAATATGAGTACTTGTTTTTTAATGCAAAAATAAATTCAAAGAGAAAAGTGATGCAAAATTAATGTCAATTTGAAGTCAAGTGTGAAAAATCAATCACGTCAAAGATAAGGTTGATCATGTATTGTATCTATTGAACTCCAAAAATCAAAATATGCTGGCACAATCAAGCCAGGATCTCTCCCAGTGTAAAAATCCACTTGCAATTATACATGTACTATATGCATTGAAACCCGCTGTACATGACATTTTTAAATTCATATAAACAAGACAGGTTCAATTCCTTACTTATCTCCAGGGAATCTCGATCATCAAAATAAGTGTATGAGGTAGAGAAAGTGGACATTGAAAAACAATGACGTTTAATGACATAAATGTCGACAGCGCCAGGAGATCATATAATGTTATTTTTATTTTATAATGATTTGGGAAATAATTAACGTATCAAGCTAAAATTTTCAAAATTTCTTTATTTTTTGTTGTTTTATGTTCCTTATAAATTTCGAAAGCACATGCAGACTACATAGTACTAATTTTATAGCCTCAGTCCACAAACTTTTTGATAACCCCTTGTACTTAAGTCAAAACTTCAAATAAAATTATAATTTTGAAATAATTTTTATACCAAGCAAACATTTTTGATTGGAATATTATATAATTCTGCAAATTTTGGATGAGATATGTTTTATAAATGACAAGCTATTAAAATCAAAATTTTGACATTAGTCTATTCTCAATGTATTGCCAGAGGTTATGGTCTTCAGGCCAGGTACCTTGAGACACACAATAGATCAGAGGACTGGTGTGTTGTCTAATTTAGGGAGGAGATGCGGATACCAATGCCTCTGTAACTTGAGCTCTGATGTGTTGTTATTTATAGGGAGGAGATGCGGATACCAATGTTGATCTGTTGGGGTGTTAATTAAGATTGATGTGTTGTTATTTATAGGGAGGAGATGCGGATACCAATGCCTCTGTTGCTGGAGCTCTTTTGGGGTGTAAGCTGGGACTCGAGGCCATCCCTCAGACATGGACAGAGAATCTTAAACATAAAGAGTGGCTCGACCAAAAAATGGACAGGTAATATTGATATTGATATATTGTTTAACGTCCATCTCGAGAATTTTTCACTCATATGGAGACACCACCATTGCTGATGGAGAGCTGCAGATTTTGTCCTCAGCACTCAGGGCCATTGAGCAGGGAGGGATTTTTTTTGTGCCAGCACCTACTGCGACACAGGGCCTCGGTTTATACAGTCTCATCCAAAGGACTGGTCTCCACGTCCCACAGTGTATTAAAAATGACAACTTAAGGATCAAAATTACTTCGCGACATTAGTCTATTCTCTAACCACTGTTCCATGCAAGCGACTGGACAGGCAATAAATCTACCATACCACCCCAACCTAAATATAATAGGGGTAAAGGTATTAGGATTGGGGTAGAGAAAGTGTGTGGAGGGGGAGATTTATACTGGAATCACCTGAAGTTTTGACCCTCTCTTTGTAAATAATTTCTTTTTCTTCAGGGATTAGGTGGTAATTACACTTCCAGTAACGAAGTTGGGGAACATATTGTTTTTACTCTGTTTCTTATTATTATTATTATTATTATTATTATTATTCTTTTTTCTTCTTATTTCTTCTCCGGGACTTTTTTGTCCGGAAGTGTTCTCAGAAACTGTTCACCAAACTAAGTTAAAACCTTTTTAGGGTTAGTAGGCATGTTGTGTAGATGTGCCGAACGAAGGTCATTTTGCGCGCATTCGCATGCACGTGCGGGCGCGTGCAATGAGTAAACTGACTGATATATTTAATATGGTTGTAACTTTTATATTTTTTGATAAAATGTTTTGAAAGTCATTATATAAAGATATATAAGTTGTGTACATAAGATGACATGGTCAAATTTGCATGAACTCACGCGCATGCACGTGCACTTTGCTCTGATTGGCTGAAACAGAAATCTTAATATCTTTTTTGTTTTATGATGAAATGCTTTGAAACTTATATCATAGACATGTATTAGGATGTACTACAATATGATATATAAAATTTTTCATGAAATCACGCGCATGCACGTGCGCTGCAATCTGATTGGTTGAAACTTTAAATGACTATAACTCCCTTGGTTTTCAACCAAACAGCATGGGATTTGGAACATAGATAGACATAAAGGACTCCTACAAGATGGTATGGTCACCATTCACATGCATGCACGTGCGTGCACGTGCGCTTTGCTCTGATTGGCTGAAACAAAAATCTCAATATCTTTTCTGTTTTTTTACAAAATGCTTTGAAATTTAAAACATAGGCATACTTTAAGATGTCCTACAATATGATAAAATAATTGTCATGGAAACATGCGCATGCACGTGCGCTGCAATCTGATTGGCTTAAACTTTAAATGGCTATAACTCCATTGTTTTTCAACCAAACAGGATGGGATTAAGAACATAGACAGACATAATGGACTCCTACAAGAAGGTATGGTCATCATGCACGTGCATATGAGTAAAATAGTGTATACAAGATGATATCGACATTACGCTCATGCAATCACATGCGCACGCCTGCATTGCTTAAATTTGAAATACTTGGTATACTTTTGGGAAAACGTTGTTGCCGTCTTAAATGCATAGATTTTGCCTTCTTTAATGAAACTTACATTTTTTTTCTTCAAGGATTCGATTAGCACTAGTTTTCTTTAGAATTATTTAATGAGGAATGTCTCTGTATTTTTGTAAAATAAACATTAATATATCACTTTAGGACCAGGGATTCTTATATCATTTAATATAAACTGAGAGAGAAAAAGCTATATTTGGCTTTGAATGTTTCATTAAACATGACTTACTATGTTCATAAGAAGAGTCAATCTCTTGACGTGTAGATTTAAGTTTAAAATGTACAAGGTGAAAATATTAAATGGAGATCAATTTAATAAAATCAGAAAATAAAATAAAATCATGATAAGGGTACAAAATGGACCTTTTGAAAAAACAGAGGTGGGATCAGGTGACTTGGAGGAGAAAGCATCCCTGTCACCTGGCCATTAACCTTATGTATTGCTCACATATAAGAAGTCAACACAGTCAACGGTGTATTTAAAAAACGGTCTTAAAATTGGCATGGAACATTTAAGTCCCCCCCCCCCAAAAAAAAACAAAAACAAAAACAAAAACAACAGGTAATTAGATTTTTACTTGTTATTAAAGATGTGTGCTTTGACCCTGTCCCAAGGTCATAAGACTTAAGAGTTAAAAATCTGAGGATAAATCTTAGATTATTGTTCTAGCTGCCGCTTTGAACAGAGAAACATTACTTTACTTAGACACAGTTGCCTGTGACTTAAGTTTATTGGAATATTAGATATGGTCAATGTTACAGGTTTACGAAGTATTTTCAGAATTAAAAAAACACACACACACACAAACACAATTTGAAAAACAATATTTTGTACCTGAATATATAAAATATATCTTGATCAAAAAAGATTCTGATTTTTTTTTTTAAGTAAATCCAAATTTAAGTCTGAGATGTCCGTGCTTAATAGATATATCAGTTCAAATTGTGTTCTAGATTAAGTGCAGATGAAAAACTCTCAGTTTTTTCATATATTTTACATGAAAACATAATCAGTTTAATTTCACAACTATTACAGGTACTTTACAGTGATCAATGAGGGCAATGTTGAGTCTGAGGAAAAACCGAGCTCATAAAGTAGAATATTGGATGTTAGTGCGATATTTGGCATCAGTGCAATATTGGATATCAGTGCAGTATTGAACATCAGTGCAATTTTGAACATCTCTGATTTTTTGTTTTTTGGAGATCGAGACTGGAATGTTCAACAAGATACAATTGATCATGTTCATTATTGGACTTTAATTTCTTGAGCATGAGGTGTTCAATTTAGTGTAGATTGCCAATTTTTAGCCACAACTCATTTTTTTTTTAAATTTTGGAATTTTTTAAAAAAAAAATATATATATATTTAACAAGTATAGAATGCTTTTGTTTGAGATGTAGTATAAAAAGAAATTTTACTGCTTCAAAAAAGTTCTTTAATAAACTGACACTGGCCCATTGCAGTCATTATATTCAATCAAAAATCTGCTAGAAGTAACAAAAGAAGAATTTAAATGTAATAAAATGCAATATGGGTAAAATGGAAAACTAATTAAGAATCACTGTATAATTTCAGTTGCAAGGTTCAGGAAAGACTGTAAGAGATGTATTTTGTTGTAAGGTGTTGTAAGATGAGCAGTGCTAGATATGCTCAATTTCAATAAGCTGTCCTGAAATTCATAAGAGATATTGCTCATATATGTATATCAAAGATTCCTTTTGTCCTGCTCATACATCAAGGACTATTTTTTACCTATTCATAGACCAAAGACATTTTTAACTTTGCTCATAAATCAAAGACTCTTCACGACCTGACATTATGTAATGACCACTAACCTCTATCATTTCTGCAAGATCAAGGTCACTGGTAGAAAACTGAGTATTTTTGTCTAATCCTTAACTTTGCTTTTGACAACCAGTTAAAAACACACGAAAAAGCTCTTTGGGTTGGCAAGGGCTACATACAAGGTCATATAACTAGTTCAATGCCTCTTGTAATGACCATTGTCCAGCTGCAAGGTCATTTGTGCAAGATCAAGGTCACTGGTATTTTTTCAGAACTGCAAAATTCTGAGCTGTCTAATCCTTAACTTTGCAGTAGACAAACAGTTGAAATTCGTACTAAGCACAGAAATGACATTTACATTTGTCATGGTGTTCACCAGAGGTCAAATAATCAAGTTCTCTTGCAAGAATAGAATAAAAGCAGACAAAACATTTGATCAGGCCAAAGGCATTGTTTTTTAAATCTGTTCACTTGTTGGCATTTCAACTTTCAGGTATTTTTTTTTCTTGGTTATTGTCAGCAACGTACATTATCCTAAGCAGAGAGCCAAAAACATGATACAATTGGTTTTTTATTCTGAAAAATGTATTTTATTAAGCCAGAATTATGATGAAGTTTAGAATGAGTATAGTTAATAATTTTTAGCAGAAGAATCCTCTAATTGTATGATGGCCATGATTTGGACACTAGGGAATATTTGTACATGATTCTTTATGTATGAGACATGAAAGTAATAAGGTGACCACTACCTCCCGTTATTTGTTTTGTTTGCTCTGCTTCTATTTTGTATTATTTTATTAACTTGGATATTGAAAGACTGAATGTTCGTTATCTCCATATTCTACTTTTACTTTTTTTCAATAGGGTCATGTTTAAAAATTGTTTGGTTGCCCTTTCCTGACAGACTGGCTAAAAATGGCCGACTCAAAAACTTTGTATCCATTATGGCCATGATTTGGACACTAATTAATAACTGTACAAGATTCTTTTTGTATGAGACTGAAGAAGGTAATAAGGTGAGCCCTGCGGACTACTACCTCCTGTTAATTGTTGTACTGTTTTTAATAGGGCCATGCTTAAAAATTGTTTGGTTGCCCTCTCCCGACTGACTGGTTAAATGGCCTCACTCAAAAAATTTGTTACCTCCTGGAAACAGTTACTTTTTTTATGAATCCCTGATAACAAATTGTGAGAAACTAAAATAAGATCAGGATTGATGTTGAAATTTTATGTGGGAAATTTTTTGTCCCACCTTTATACCAACCAAACTTTTTCATGATGGGTCGAGAGAGGGCAAACAAACATTATTGTAAAGTTGGCCTGGTCTTATCTATTATTATCAATTATTATACATATTGTATTTCATGTATGGATGTGTTCCTTTGTTGTAAAAATTTGTATATATTTTTATTGTGATAGAGTTTATGGATCTCCAGTTATGTCGATTATTATAACACATATATTATTATAGTATTTAATGAAAGATGTTCTGAATAAATTATATGTACTTCTTTTTGTGTTGTATAACTTTTTTTTTTGTTTTATTTTTTTCATTTTTATTGTTATAGTTTTATAGGGTGTTAAAATTACTTGTAACGTTATGCATGCATTCCTGTACGTGTGTCATGTATACTCTTTTTATAAATATTTATTTTCTTATTGTTATAATGTTTACAAATGTTGAAATTGAAAAAAAAAATACAATAAAATCATTTAAAAAATAATTTTCATTTTTTGAACTTTTATTGAAAAAACCCAACTAAAACATCATCACGAGTTGAAAGGTCTTACTATTTTAATTTACAATTGTTCAGTGGAAGACTTTGGATGATGTCACCATGGAAACACAACAGATAGAAATGTAAGATCATAACAATTCAATTGATACCCCGTAGGCCTGATATTTTGCCAATTATTTTACTATGTATGTATTTAAAATCTTTTTATGGGAATTGTTTGGAGAATTATCAACAATTATTCTATATCAGTCACATTGTAAAGAAACTTTTGGACATTCACCCATAAACTGGGCAATGTAAACTAAAGCTAAAATGCATTGTCTATCATCACATCAGGGTAGCATATGTTGGAGAATTATTGAGCAAACACTTAATTCTGGGCATTTGTAGAACAATTAAGGTAGGACAAAACACCAGTGGATTCTACTTTAACCCATTTCTTAAAAAGTACTGGAGAAAAAAAGAAAAATATTACTACATTGACAACAATGAATGATCCCTGTAAGAAAAATAGTAAATTTTGGCATGTTTGCGTCATATTTTGTGAAAAAATCAGAGAATCCCATATAGTGGTCACTTTGGAGCTTACATTTTGGAATGTTTTCGCTATCTTACTGCAATAAACAAGCATGTAACAGTCTGTTATAAAATGCAGTGTAACTTTTGTTCCATAAATAGTAGAGGGCTGATGTTTGGACACATATATAAAGAGTCTCCATTCTTCTTGTACTACAAAGGTCAAGGTCATATCAAGGGGTCAAAGGTCATATATTGTGACGTATTTTACTAAATCTTTTAGTTTTTTGCCATTTAACTTTTTTTAATCGCCAAAATATCTTAAACAACTGGTTCAGTTTTCTTCATTTTTACACATTCTATTTTACATGATTTTAGGACCCATTTGAATCATTCTGTTAAATTTTTATAAAAATTGAATTATACATTTTTTTTTCTTAAGAAAACTTAAACTGTCAGAAATTTACATGAGAAGTTTCAATTCCATTGCTACGCATGTTCTATTTTTATTTAATATTTTTCACATATTTCCAGTATCAATATGACCTACTGATTTAAAGTAACAAAAAGGTTATATTTATTAAGGAATTAGATGTGTAATAGGCCACTTCCGGTTAAAATGCCGAGGTGTTTGACATCGGCAATTCTCGGAACATCTTTTTTCGTAAACAAAAATGGCGCGTCGTCAAGACGGCCTAGGACGTTATCATAAAACACACACCAGAGGAACGGATTATTAATTTACTATTCAGAGGAAAGAATTGATATGATATTCAATAGAAAACACCTTACTATAATTTGGTTTGACAAACTACCCAGCAGGCATTTCAACGTTGATTCAACGTTGAATCAACGTTGAATCAACGTTGAATTTTGGTTGCATATGAAAGTTGAGGCAACGTTGAGACATAACGTTATTTCAACGTCAATTTTCAACGTTGAATAAACGTTGAAAATGGGTTGAATTTTTGGTTGATTTATGGTTGATATTTGGTTGCAAATGAAAGTTGAGGCAACGTTGAAGCTTCAACGTTGTTTCAACGTCAAATATCAACATTGAACAAAAGTGAACATTGGTTGAAATTAGGTTGAGATTTGGTTGAAATTTTCCGGATGTACAAACGTTGATATTTGGTTGAAATCACGTTGAATTCATATTACATTTTGCTTTATAAACAAATACATTTCAAATTCTAATAAAAAAAATTATTCAAGTTGTGTAATATTTATATCAGTTGTAATCAAGTATTATGATTGTGAGAGAATTAATTTTACATGTATTTTTATTCAATCACTGAATCTCAAAAATCACTGCTTGACAAAATTTATATTCCTTGGGAAAAGTGGGTCACAATAATCACATCCAGGTCCTTCAAAGTACACGTATGCCTTACACAAAGTGGCGGATCCATTGATTTTAATCACGCATAGAGTTAAGTCCCACGAATGAAAGAAATGAACAGGAGAATCCACCCTCTAAAGCAAAAGCCTTTTGATAAAAGAAATAAAGATGTTAAAGCCATTTGTTCGATAAAATGTACGTACACATGTAACACGTTATATCAAATGATAAAAATAAATATACATGAATGATTTAAAAAGTCAGACAAAGGAATATATTCCGGTACTTGGATTTAATTAACATGATTAAAAGAATTAATGTTGCCTTTATGTTAAAATTCGTATGAGTATGCTTTTAAATAATTATTACTAAAGAAAAATGTTATAGACATACATCATGTACATACTACATATACATAGTGTACTTACAAAATGTTGCATTCCTATCGGCTTGGCCAAGATCAGGTGCCCATTTCCACATGAATGATGTTATATGGAAGTAACTCTTTAAAGTTACAATCAATCTAAATGTCTTTAGTTGCATTGACAAGAGCAGATTGAGAGCTTTCCATTGGTATATTATGTTAATGTATATTTATACCTTTATCTTTGAAAAAATATCAGGATAAAGTCTCAAATTCATACTTTTTGAAGCGTTATGCTGTTGCACTTGATTTTTTACATTTTAAAAAGTGATTCATTAAAATTATTCTGAATGAAGCAATCCAAAATAGATATAGTTTATTATAGAGAAATCATTATGGTTAAGTTTATTTTTTACAGAAAAGAAAAATGATAAAATTGTGGAAATTATGAATAAATGTATACAGGTATACCTTTGTTACATAATTTAAGATTTTTGAATGTTTGAATAAATTCAAAATTTCTAGCAGAAAAAGAGTAAATATAATTGGTTTAAACCTTCTTATTTGAC